ACGAGGGGGCGGAGCAGAATGGATGAGGAGGAGGAGGAACGACAGTTGCCGCGAGGGATGTGGGGGGGGGGGAGGTGGGCCAAGCAGTAGCGGCGAGAGGAGAGTCGCGGGCCCCGGCAGTCACAGCGATCACTAAAGAAATCCACCTCCCCACAGGGGGTAGTGCAAGGCCGAAGGAGGAGTAGCGAGGCGGCGGGTCGGGGGGGAGAGGAAGAAGAGGAGGAGACGAGGGGGACAAGGACAAGGACAGGGCGCTCGGGGAGATGAGCCCGCAGCAGCGGCAGCGGCAGCAGCCACTCGGGCCCCCACCAGGCCTCCCTGCGAGTGCATACGCACGCAGGGCCTCAGGTCGGCCCGAATCTGGACCCCGAGGCCTGCCGGGACGACCCTGCGGGTTCTTTGCCTCTCCCCCCCGCCCTCCGCCCGGAGGCCCGGCGGCGGAGTGCCACGCGCTTCTCTCCGAAGCTGGCTTGGGTCGGGGTCGGGGGGCTGGCGGGGCCTCGACCTCGCAAGACCCCCCAGGAGGGCCCTGCATCACCACCCCGCGCAAATGCCACACGAGAGGAGCACAATACACACGAGGGCGAAGGGACCGGCGTGCCAAATGCGCGCCAAAGAAAAACGAGGAGGCGCCAAATACGCGCCGCAGCTGCAGCCGTCAAGCTTTACGGCCAACCAGTATGCAATGCACTCTTCTTTTATTGAACGATCCCTAGATGCATCCAGCTACATATCGCTTGCACAACTGGTTCCTCGTGCCCTTCCCTGTGAAAGTGCGATGTAAGTTCGTCGAAAGCCAATCGCCCTCCCTGCGCGAGAAACTCATACACCTTAACCTGCAATGCCGAAGCATTCTGCAATCGGCTTCTCACGGGAACATCAATGTCTGTCTCGTGTTGTTTGCTTTGCAAGGGTGCGCACATACCGCTAAGCATTGTATGCAAAGTGATCCAATGGTGTCGAAATAGACGAGAGTGCATCGAAATGCGCTTGTGCATGTTTGGTAAATCTTTTAATCAATTAACAGGAGAAGTTCTCTGCAACGGCCAGTTCCTGGCCGAGATTTTCGATATCCAGCAGTCTGTCCGCATCTTTGGTCCATACAGAAAAATATGTTGTTGGGCGCCAAGTACTCGTACCAACAGGTTGTCACCTCAAGTCTGATTTGCAGTATGTTCGCATATGGTCGGCGTGCTCCCTTCATCTTTCACTGAAGCTGCCCTCTGATCCACCGCATGCTTCGTTACATGTGTTTTCTCGTCTGTTGAATTTGCGACGGCATCACTCTTGTTTTACGGTATCACAATTAGCAACGTCCGCTCGCGATCTAAGATGCTGCCAAGGTTCTCTTGTCCAGGCGGTGGTCCACTAACGAAATCCTTCCAGCTATTTGTTTAGCTGACATTTGCGTGCAAATGCACTTTGTACGCTCGATCCCCGTCGCACGCACTATATGTTACCAACGCGTTTGTCTGCATATCCTTGTCGTGTGCGTTGTCTTTTCCTGCTTATTGCAACTCCCACGAAGCAAGAACACAATTACGAATTAGCGTGAGATCCGTGCATTCTGGTCCATGCAATGTCTTGCTCGATGCTACTCCCAATGCGCCCGCTATGCTATTGATCTTTTCTCTTTCACACATGCTGCTGGGGGAATGAGACTACTTAGCGGAATATAAAATTCTGGTACGCGCGAAAGTAGCGAAACGCGGGGCGATAATTTCAATGCGCCTGCACATGACGCCAAATATGAGCAAGAAACCAAACACCAAGGCATCTGTGTACGGTACTTCAGTAGTGGAAGCAATTGGTTTTCAAACTGTTTGCTCTTTAGAAGCTCTGCGTGGCGACGCCCCCGTCGCCACGCGTGCCCTCTGCGTGCCTGCGGGGGCGCCGCCATGTAGAAGTACTGGAGACCGAGCATTGGGGGCGTCGCTACGCACGCCCTCTGCGTGGCTGCGACCATTTGTGAAAACCCTCAAACCAATTAAATTCACCAATGAAGTACTCGGAAATCTCATGAAATTCAAATAATTCACTAAATTCACTAATTAATGCCCTAAACCAATTAAAATCGCTGAGAGGTCCTCTCCCCCCACGGGCCTCGGGGGGTGTACCCGTGGCCCCGTAGAGTCGGCCGTGAGCTCTTGTGCGAGCGGACTCGGGCCGGAAGATCCGTCATGAGCCACGCATGCCGACGAGACGAGGGGGAGGAGGAGGAGGAGGAGGAGGAGGAGGAGGAGGAAGAGGAAAAAGGAGGAGGAGGAAGAGGAGGAGGAGGAAAAAGGAGGAGGAGGAAAAAGGAGGAGGAGGAGGAAAAATGAGGAGGAGGAAGAGGTGGAGAGAATGAGGAGGACTCCTCCTCCACCCCGCGCAGGCCTGTCCCTCGCGGTGGCGAAGCCCATGCGCCGCATGACGGCGGCTATCCTGCGGCACCGGGATGGGTCTCTTCAGGGTATTGGGGGGGGGGGGCGGGGCGCCTCTGCGACGGCGGCGTCTGCTTCCTCCTCCACATGCTCCTCGTTCCTCCTCCTCCTCCTCCTTCTCCTGCTCGTCAATGCTCCCTCCTCCACCTAATTCTCTGTCTCCTCCGCTTCCTCCTTATCCATGCTCTCTCATTCTCCGCCTCCGTCAACTTCCGTCTATCCTGCTCCCACCTTCTGCTCCCTATCCCTCCGTCTCCTACCTCCTCCACCTCTTTCTCCCCCTTATACCTCATCCCCCTCCTGCCCTCAATCAATCCGTATCTCCCTCTCCTCTTTCCATCCGTCCTTCATGTCCTTCCTTCTCCTCGTCATCCTTCCCTTTGGCACCCCTCACGCTCACTCTTCCATCCCCCCTCCTCTCGAACTACCTCCTCCTCGTCCTCCTTCTCGTCCTTCTCCGCCATCATCCTCCATCCCCTCCACCTGCTCCCTCATCGGTCCTTCCTCCTCCTCCCCCCTGCTGCTACTCCTCCTCCTCCTCCTCCTCCTCCTCCTCCTCCTCCTCCTCCTCCTCCTCCTCCCTCCTGCTGCTACTCCTCCTCCTCTTCGTCTTCCCTCCGTTCTCCAAGGCAAGACCGCCGAGGCGGCACAGGGACCCGCGCTGCACGGACGAGGACGGACTCCGTGCGGGCTACCCGAGGGAAGGGCAGACCGCTCCCGCGGGAGCGGGTGCAGTTCATTGGGCCAGCATCATCCTTCCTCCTCCCCCCTTTGTCCTCCCAATCCTCCTCCTCCTCCCCCACCTCCTCTTCCTCCTCCTCCTCCTGTTTCTCCTCCTTCTCCTCCTCCTCCTGTTCCTTCTCCTCCCCTCCACCCCCTCCTCCTCCCCCTCCTCCCTCCTCCTCCCCCTCCTCCACCCCCTCCCCCTTCTCCCCCTCCTCCTCCTCGTCCTCCTCCTCCTCCTCCTCCTTCTCCTGCTCCTCCTCTTCTTCTTCCTCCTCCTCCTCCTCTGCCTCTCACTCCTCCTACTTCTACTCCTGGTTTCCATTTCCTCTCTTTCCACGAAGACCGAAGATCGAGAGTTGAAACTTTTACGCGTCATATGTGTATCCCCTGCGGGGGCCCGAGACCTCCGCAGGGGGCCGCGGAACGAACAAATCAAGTCGCCTGGGGTCTGGGCTCTCCTCCTCTTCCTCCTCCTTCTCCTCCTCCTCCTGAACAGGCAGAGGCGGAAAGATTGTTTTAGCGGATTCGACGGGGGGCGGTCCAAGAAATCCCGATGGGCATCACACGATTGGCTCATGGACCGTCCTCACTTTTCCATTCCCATCTTCATCGTTCTGCCTCAATCCTCCTATCCCCTCCCGTTTCCATGGATGACGAGTATGAATGCTACTCCGCCCCTCCCCGACACGACAAGATCGCTCCAGGACGCCCAAGATGGCCCTTGGACGGCCCAACAGGCCTCCAAGAGCACTTCCCAGAGGGCCCCAAGAGGTACAATGAATCGCGTCCCGACGCTCCGAGACGCCCCAAGCGGCCTCCGAAATCCGCCCCGAGACGGCCCAAGCGTTCCTTTGTGCGACGGTGTGCCTGCGCAGCTCCCCGGGCAGCTTGAGCGGCTTTCCAGAAGGAGCTCCGAATCGGCCGCGCGAACCTGCAGCGCAGCGCTCCCTCGGGAGTCGCCCAGAAGGCGTTTCTGCAAGGCCGTCGCCACGTGGCCGCGCAGATGCCGCAAGACCGGTTTCAACAAGGACCCCCCGCGGCCGGGCCTGAAGGCCACCTGCACGATGGTCGCCGCGCTGGCGGCCAAACCGTCTGCCGGGCAGGCGCCCGAGAGGGCTGACGACCACGTCTGTGCTATGGGGCCCTCAGGCCCCGGAGAATGCTGCAGACAAGAAGCCTCTGGAGACCCCCAGAAGCCTCCAGATAAGCAAGCGGGAGAGAGCACAAGGCGGCGATGTGGGGAATGCCTGGAGGGAGGATGGCAATCACCGTAATTACGATCGGGAGGCTGAGCGGGGTAACCGCGAGGGCAGGAGGGGAGTAACGGCGCGAACAGGCGCAGGGCGAGGGGGAGGAATACTGATGGGAGATGAATGAAGGTGAAGATGCGAATTTTCTTGAATACGGTGCGACGGACGAGGGGACCTACTTCACGAGGGGGTGCTTGCGAAGACCCGAAGTAAACACACTGCGAAAACATCCACGGTCAGCGAAGCGAACCTTGGCATCGCCACAACGGACCAGGCAACCAGGCTCATATCGCTGACATCTGGGAAACCTGTTTCAATCTACGTCGATAGTTGCGTTCTTCCAACGCGAGGTACCCACGACCGGTCACCAGGCGAAATCTCAGCAAACCCAACCAATTCTTCAGGTAACCTAAGTAGGAGCCTCTAAGTGTTCGGGGAATTCGTTGGCCCAGCGGGCCAAAGGCATGCGAAAATCTCTGGAGAGAGACTCCGAGTGTTTGTGCATGAGAGGACCGCGCGCGCGGGGGTCCCCAGATGAAAAACCCGGATGAAAAATCCCTGGGTCTTAGCGCGCCGAAATGCCCCGGACACGGGTCAGAGATGGCTTTCGGTCTGGGCACGGCATTCGCGACCCCCAAGAGAGCTCCAAGAACTCTCCACTGGGCTTGCCAGAGAGCCCAAGAGAGTCCGACACGGTCCAAGAGCGTCTCAATACGTCCTAGATGGTTCCCTCATGGTCAAGAAGACTCCCAAACGCCCCACGAGAGCTCCCAGTGGGAGCCCAAGGAGGCCTCGAGAGGTCAAAATCATGTGCATCCATTCGGTGTTTGACGGATTTCAGCGTTCTCGCTTTTTCGGCCTTCCGACCCTCCAAGACGACCACAGAGGCACCCATGATCGCCCAAAGACAACGCAGGAGGCTCCCAAGAGGGCCCCAGCACGGCCCACGAGGCCCCAAGAGGCCCCCTAGAGGGCTCCAGATGCTCCCAAGAGGGGGAACCCAAATTGAGGTTTCGCACCCATCCCCTAAATGTGGCCTCCGAGACTGCCAGAAGGCCCACAGGAGGTCTGCAGAGCTCCCAGCCCCCCCCCCCCCAAAAAAAGGCACCAAGAGGCTCCCAAGAGGCCCCACGAGGCCCCAGGAATAACCCCGCGAACAAGCAGGCAAGCGCGAACGATGCTACAAGATGGGCCGTGGGAGTGAGCAAACCAACTGAAAACGTACTCTCTCCCTTCCTCACCCCCACCCTCCCTGCTCCTCCTCCTCCTCCTCCTCCTCCTTCCTCCTCCTCCGTACATTTCTCCTCCTCCTCCTCCTCCTCCTCCACCTCTTCCTCCTCCTCCTCCTCCTCCTCCTCATCCACGCGTGCTTAATACCCTTCTCTCTCTTCCCGCCTCTGCATCTTTTCTCCCTCCCGCCTCTCCCCCTGCATCTCCATCATCCTCCCTCTCCACCTACCCTGTTCCCGCCGCTGCATCGATCCCCATAGTCCCTCCTCCTCCAACATGCTTTCCTCCCTCCCCCTGCTCATCCTCCATGAAGATGCAGAAGATGAAAGGGATCGAATGGACGGGTTGTCAGGGGTGAAGGGGCCTGTCTTACACCGACCCTGGGACCGTGGCTGAAGTGGGATTCCGTGCTGTGCTGTTGTCGTCACGTCGCCCCGCGACCGCCCACGACCCACCAACGACCCACTCGCGACCCCTCCACAACCCCCCTGCGACCCACCCGCGACCCTCCTGCCACCCATACCCGCGTCCCACACCCTCAACCCACCCGCGACGCACTGTAAGTCGCTGATCGTGTAAAAGTCGGCGCCAGGCGGGTCTCTTTGTATGGGCCTTCGAGCTGCCGCGTGCTCATCGTAATTCTGAGCGGTCCCCGATTGCCAAGGGGCCCAGCGGATGTTGACACCGTATGTCATGTGGACGTCTCCCCGTGGGCTGTTTTCTGTGGGTCCTGGCGCCCGAAGCGGGCCGCCTGAGTACGGCCAACCTTGAACACTCGCGCCAGCGTCGCTACCGCATCGAGGCGGCACGCTCTGCGCTCTAGGAAGACGCCAGCTGCACCACAACAGCGGCTCTGGCCAGGAAGGCGCGCTCACCGATCCCCAGCCCAGGGTTGACCTGGCCAGGATCGGTATTGGCGTATAGTTGACGCATCCTGGCAAGGGCGCTCGAGCAGGAGGAAGCGGAAGTATACTCGACCAGAGCCGCAAGAGAAGCAGTGCTTGGGGCTGAAAACTGTTCATGGACGGGCAATGCCCAGTTGCCTCGGAGGTGGCGCGCACGTGCGTTTACAAATTACAAGCACTACATGTGTAAAATTGGCGCCCGGGGCAAACTTTCTCTGAACACCGTCGAACGCGCTACGTCAAAGCTCCCAGGGGACATCGGATGAAGCAACGCACCACGGATCAACGCTTGCGGCCCGTAACACGTTGTTTGAAACTCCGCCGTTGACCACCTGGCGCAGAACCTTGAATTATTTCTCTCGACAACCGCTCCTCAAAGCCAGGAAGTGCCAATTCGTCGCACAAGTCAGTGCTGCTGAAGGAGATCAGCCGCTCAGCTGTCACAAGTATGTTTGTTCTTAGGCCAGGCTCAAACAAGATAAGCTCTGCAGACATATTGGCCGTCATGAGGAAAGACAGGATGACTGGAGCCAACACGGGCAAACATACTAAAATCCTCCTCGTAACAGTCTCGGATACCGCTGAAGAGCGCTGCAAGCACAATGCCCATTGCATCAGCAAGGGTATGGCCCTCTCGCCCTCAGCAAGAGGTGCAGCCAAACGGATAACCCTTGTATCTAGAGTCTGCGCGTCGGCACGAGATCGCGTCAACGACTCGGCTGCTTCTAAAAGTTTCTCCTCCACCATGTCGATTTCTCGCATCAGGTAAGAAAATTGACGCAAACTTACTAACCAACGGTCCAAACATGTCCCAGTTGGGTACTTGGCTCTGAGCTTTGGCAGCATGGACGATGCGCGGTGGGCCGACCGAGCAGCATCAATCAATACGGCACGCTGTTCCCCGAAGAGAGAGCTACGATCGTCTTGTGCTGCCGTGGAGCCGGGCTGGTTTATGTGCAAAGCGCCTTCGTGCGAGCTGGGCGCCGCCTGTTTCTCCGAACTCACCAAGTGTTCTGAGCCCTGCTGGCGCAATCGCTCCATGACAGCAGACACGCCCCTCCAGCAGGAGCGGCACTTGGTGCTCCAAGTCCTCGTCACACGACCTGGTAGGTGAAAAGTAGAAGGAGCGAAACCAGACGCAAAGCTCCTCATCAATGCGAGAGCCCCAAAAGCACAGAACCCCGACACTGCAACGTTGAACGTAGAATGCTTGGCAAGCGTTAGGGATCCAAACATATTTCCACGAGAATCGTCAAAGCTGTCGCGACGGTTGCACATGCGGATGCCGGATGAGAAAGAATTGGGCCGAAGTGGCTACGGAGGAGGAAGCAGGTCCCGCCCGCGCGCTTACTGGAACGATGCGCGCTGGGCCAGGTCATGTCGGCCAGCGCGTCAGCTGGGCCAAGTCGCAAGTCGCCTTTGTCTTACAACCTAACAGCACCAAGTTGTCGTATGAGGAACGCCCCTGACGAAGGAAACCGAAACATGCCGTGGGGCGAAAAACTACAACGCAAAACGAGTGGTGTGAGCGACGCCCCAAAACTTGTTCGGAGGGTGCTGCAACCTGTTGGCAAAGGAGGAGGGGGAGGCAGTTTTCTGTTCGCTCGGATTCTTCTCCACTCTAATGGGTGACACTTTGTTCTCTTATGTTCTGTTCTGAACGGGCAGGCAGAACATCGTGACGCCTGCAAGGTGTGATATGTCGTCTGAACGGTCGTTGCTGCTACTGCTTGTTTCTGTGGTCAGCGTGGGCTCGGCGCGCATGAGGTGTGCATGGCAGGACGGCATTGCTCGGTCTCTGCTGTATTCCACTCTGTGACGCTCTGTTCGGCTGTGTTTTGCTCTATGCACATATGGTTTGTTCAGTTCTGCTTTCGCTGGGGCGGCAAACGTCGTGACGCCTGTCACGCATGATACGTCGTCGAATCGGTCGTTGCTGCGCCTGTCTTGGTCACGTGGCCAGCCTTGTGCCAGCGTGGATGCTGCGTTTGGCAGGGCTCCATTACTCGGCCCTTGCTGTGTTCAACAGTGCTCAGCTATGTCATATCCCAACACTCTTTCGTATGCTATACTGTATTGTGTTCTGTTGTGTTCTCGACGGGCCCGTGCGACGTCGCGACGTCTGTCACGTGAGATACGTCGTCCAATCGGTTGTTGCTGCGCCTGTTTGTTCCTGTGGCCAGCCTGTTTGTTTTTTTCGTCGCGTTTGAATATCCAGTTGCGCTACCGCGCGATTGCGCCACCACACTCGGGCGGGCGGGGGGGCGAGGGGACGCTTTTGGGGGGGAGGGCGGAGGGGCCATGGACCCCCACCCACGCCGCGGACTGCGCATTTCGGACCATTGTTCCCAACCAAAAACGCAGGGACGTGGGCACACAAATGACACATCTTGGGCTCGATGCGTCGGGGGCCCGAGCCATTGCTTCGCAAGTGGCGAGAGGGCCCGACTCACACCAACGGCTGCAAGCGCGGTGGCGGATATGAGCGTACGGCCGATCATGGTATAATGCCACTCTCCGGTGGTGGGTCACTCTGTTGTGTCGCTATGAAAATATACAGTGCTGTGCCAGGCTCTGCCGTAAGAGGAGCTGTTGTGTGTACACTGTGCTGGTATGCTGCGCTGCGGCCTGCTTAGCTGTTTACGCTATAGCCCCACCAGCCCTTTAGAGGGTGAATGGTTTAGAGGGGGGCAGCCCTCCAAGAGAACAGGGGGAGGAGGAGGAGGAGGAGGAGGAGGAGGAGGAGGAGGAGGAGGAGGAGGAGGAGCAGGAGGAGGAGGAGGAGGAGCAGGAGGAGGAGGAGGAGGGGAAGGAGGAGGAGGAGGAGGAGGAGGCTACCCCTCCCCCTGCCCCCCTCCCCCAGGACCTGGACGGGCCGGGCCGTGGGACGCCAGAGGGTCCAATATGGCCTCGGCGAGACGGCCGCAATCATCGATCACACTGCGGCTTTGGGGGCACAAGAGGCGCGCAAGAGGCCCCCAGCAGACCCCGAGGTACCCCAAGAGGCTCGGGGACTGCCAAGAGACGTCGAAGACACCCCAAGAGGACTCCAAAAAGCTCTGGGAAGGAATCCCAACAGACTCCGAGGCATCCAAGAGACTTCTGGCCTTGCTGCTCGCCCTCCTCCTCTTCCTCCTCGAATTCCTCATCCGCCGATTCCTCCTCCTCCCCCCTCCCTCTACAATTACACAATATGAATACTACTCTCCTCTCTCCCCTGATGACGTCTGGAAGATGTCCAGCCCCCCTCCGCGTATTGTTTTTTACGCATAGGATTCCCAGGAGTTGGGTTGTCGCGTCGCTTTTGTTTCAAAATGTTGTTCCCGCTGAAACGCTGGACTCATTTTCGGGCGTCCGCTCGTTCCGAATCGTGCTCCCGCTGCAGCGATGGCCTCATTTCCGCGCTCCCGCTCGTTCCAAATCGTGCTCCTGCTGCAGCGCTGGCGTCATTATTTCCAGTGCCATGCCACGGCATGCAATGCAATGCTATGTGGTGTTCCGCTGTGCGATGCCATAACTTCAGCTGCAATGCTAGGATATGCAGAGCTGGACTACGCAGTGCAGTGCCATGTCATGCCCATGATACGCATTGATCTTCAACGCCATGCTATGCCATGATCTGTTCTGTGCCGCTGTGCGATGCCATTCTTTGCGTTGGAATGCTCTGCGATGCCATTATTCACCACGCAACGCCATGCCATGCTATTGACATACTACGCTCTGCCATGCTCTTCTACGCCCTGCTATGCTGTGCTCTACGATGCATCGCGCACCCTCTCGGGATCATTGCCATGCTCGACATCCGACTGCGCGAATAAAGAGGAGATCTACGCCATGGTAAGGGATGGGAGGGAGGGGTCGGACGTCAGATATGACGTGAGCACACCTAGCTTGTCCCCCTCCCCCTCTCCCTTCTCCTCCTCCTACTCCTCCTGCTCCTCCAATTCCTCCTCCATCCTCCCCCTCTTGGAGTATGACGTCTAGCCCAGCCCACTATTCCACTGCATGCTCCTCCACATCTCTGATCATGGCAACTCGTCTGGTCATCGTTTCTGGATGGGCTGGTGGGTTTGCACGAAGCGTCTAGAATACGTAGCACCCCGCAGTTGCGGATAAGAGTGAGGGGGCGTCGGGGACGTTTGCAGTCTGCGAGGCTCTGAAGAAGCCCGCCGCAGGCGCAAAATTCTCAAGCGATACAACGAGCCCGCAAAAGGAGCCGACTTATTTGTTAAAGCAATGTAGGTATGTCGCGGGTTGGGTCGCAGGTGGGTCGCGGGTGGGTCGACGGTGGGTCGGGGGTGGGTCGCGGGCCAGGTCGCGGGTGGGTCGCGGGTGGGTCGCGGGTGGGTCGCGAGCGGGTCGCAGGGTGGGTCGCGGGTGGGTCGCGGGGTGGGTTGCCGGTGGGTCGCGGGCCGGGTCGTGGGGGGACGACGACAACAAACAACAACAACAACAACAACAACAATCATTTTACCCGAACGCTCAGTGTTCTCACCAGTGCCAGGGTTTTCATGCGACGCGAGACAATACCCCCACTTCGTGGGGGGGCAGTTCAAGCTCTACCAAATATCCAAACGACTCTTCGCGACCACCCAAACCCAGCTTCCCGCCCTATGACGTTGGGACACTTCACTTCGTGGCGTGCGGACGACCGTGGCTACTACACTGGCGTGGGGTACACACCCACAGAACTTGGTCACTTATTCGGGGCGCGCGTGTGCCCAGCATCCTGCAATTGTGACATACAATACATGACACAGACAGACAGAGAGAGAGACAGAGAGCAGACAGAGAGAGAGACAGAGAGAGCGGAGTTGGTCACATTTTTGGGGCAAGTTCCTAAGATCGTCGTGTTTTTTGTTGGTCTTGCGCGCGCGAATGTCCACTTTACTTTTTTTTGCAAGGGAGTATTGAAATTTGATTATGTTAGAACAAGAAAAAGTAGCTCGCGCGAGCTCATGTAACATAAATGTTGAAAAACCATTGGTTTTGTGGGAGTCGGACAGCGCGCGCGGGATGAAATTTGGACATTTTTTTTTGAAAAACCATTGGGTTTTTGATGTTTTTATGTTGAAATCGTTACGAAACCTAAGGTTCTGGAAGGATTTCGTCTTGCGCGCGCGAATGTCCACTTTACCTTATTTTTTGCAAGGGATTATTGAAATTTGATTATGTTAGAACAAGAAAAAGTAGCTCGCGCGAGCTCATGTAACATAAATGTTGAAAAACCATTGGTTTTGTGGGATTCGGACAGCGCGCGCGGAAGGACATTTTGACAATTTTTTCTTAAAAAACCATTGGGTTTTTGATGTTTTTATGTTAAAATCGTTACGAAACCTAAGGTTTTGGAAGGATTTCGTCTTGCGCGCACGAATGTCCACTTTACCTTATTTTTTGCAAGGGATTCTTGCAATTTGATCAAGTAAGAACAAGAATTTTCATTTTATGGTGTTTTTTGCAAGGGAAAACGGATTACAACAAAACAACCGGATCCGGTGACAATCCACTTTTCTGAAGCTTTCGCTAGAAAATGAAGGAAATGAGGCTGCGGCCTAGGTTTTGGAGGGGGGTCGCGCACCAGGGGTCTCAACAATAATATTTCTTTAGAAGTAATAATATTCAACAACAACAACAACAATCACTTTACCCGAACGCTCAGTGTTCTCACCAGTGCCAGGGTTTTCATGCGACGCCAGCCAATACCCCCACTTTGTGGGGGGGCAGTGCAAGCTCTACCAAATATCCACACGACTCTTCGCCACCACCCACACCCAGCTTCCCGCCCTATGACGTTCGGACACTTCACTTCGTGGCCTGCGGACGACCGTGGCTACTACACTGGCGTGGAGTACACACCCACAGAAGTTGTTAAGCCTACGTTCGTACACCCACAGAAGTTGTTAAGCCTTGTTAACCCACAGAAGTTGTTAAGCCTTCCACAGAACATCTGTTGCATATGATGCATATGGTACATGATACACATGATACACATGATACGTACTCACAAGATAGTTGATCACATCTTTAGGGCAAATTCCTGAGGGATGTGGGAATACA